TCCCCTGCTTCGTCAAATGCTATTCGTCAATTTTCACAAAAGCCTGAAAATTTATGGGGAAAGATGGGGATGGCGGGGGAAAAGATGGCCCCTGATCTGGCCAGAAGTATATTATACTTACAGTACTTACGGTGTTATTACTTCAACGCTGTATACCTNTGACCCCCCTTCCCCTCCCCTTCCCCCTCCCCATTCCTCCCGCCTACCTACCTAGTTGTTTATTGCTTCTACGGATTATTTACTTTGTTAAACTTACTAAGTCAGAAAGATCTTATTTTTCAACAAATATTGCAAAGCTACCAATTTTCTGAATATATTAAAAATCTTTCGAAAATAAATGGAAAAATTAAAAATTTAAAAAAAAAATTCGAATCTGTATCGTTGTCATGATATAATTTCGATTTTTATTAATAAATTTCAAACAATTTTATATTTTATATTTTCCAAGAGCGACGTTAGGGTTGAAATATTTATATATAAACCCCAATGTAATGAATAATGTAGACTTTTTTTCTATAAATTTTGGATTTTGCTCGTTTCAACGGTGTTTCTAGAAATAATAAATAAATTGTGATTGCAGGCTTGGACCGCAGGCATATATAACGTGTAAGAGAAAATTCATCCGTAGCACAAGCAAATATATCGAAAATTAAGGGGATAGACAAAAGAAAAAGAAAATTTTCTTCTCTACGATATATATATATATATATACCAAAATCATAGAAATCGACAAGAATCGCGAATAATTAAAATTAATATTAAAAAAAATGACGAAATCTTTATTACAGATATTAATTTTCGAATTGATACACGACGAAACGATATCAGTGTGAAACGTGGCGACTCTCCTTAAGCTAATGAAATTCGCGTAGAAACATGGGACGATCCCTCGATAGCGTCGTCAAACGTGACACTCGGTGGACACAAAGCCGATAATGAACGAGCTTAAGGATATTAGGGACGAAGCATGTCTGCACGCAAGGACGGAAAAAGGTGGTAGAAAGTATTGGAGAGGTATTATTTCACACGAGAATTTGCATTTGCATGGCACAACAAGGTAATAAAAGCTTGAAAATTACCGAGAAAATGCTGTCCCGGGGTAATAAAAGCTACTTCTTTTGTTCGAAAGAAATTTTACCGATTTAACATCGAAACTGTTTAACTGTTTTTCGCGTTTAATTGTTTTTTCAGCTTTGCTTCGTGTTTACTTTATTATATTTTATATTATTATATTATTATTATTATTTAAAAATTTTTTCAACAATGCGATTCATAATTACAACGTAACGTAAAGATTTTTTACTTACTTTTTTTACGCTTACATGATTCGGCGAAAAATTCAGAGAAATCTGAACGGAAACAATTTTATCGGAGACGGCGGTTCAATACGATTTCGACAAATTTTCGTAACGCAATGCCGTTTACACGTTACACATATTTATATAAACAAGATAATTCAATTTTTTTGTTTATCGAAGAGATCGGCGAACGACATTTAGCTTAGTAAACACGGGAAAACGGACAGTTATGTCCGTATTTTAATTATATTTAAAATAATCAAAATTGAATCGAAAAAATATAAATAACGGCAAGGTGACTAAGTCGATTTCGATTAAAACAATTCAAATAAACATTGTAAAAGAATATTCGTATTCGTGTTCGTTATATTTGGACGATAATCAAACCAACTCCTTTTATGAATCGTCCCAAAGTTTCTCGAATTCGTATAATTTAAACAACGCGTCAATTTTTCTTGCATTAAATTCGAATATATAGGATCGTGGTTAAAAATTAAACTCGAGCTTTAAAAATCTCGAGTCGATCGATAAAAAAATCCTAATAAATATGATACGAACCGCATTCATAACACCTCCATGTTGCTTTTCCAGCGTGATAAGCAGCAATACGACTTCCATCGGTTCCTTTCAATGGTTCCTCCTCGCAAGTCCAGTTCCCGTCGTCGCTACCATCGGTCCCGTTTCCGGTGTCCTCCTCGGTCTTGTACGAAACGGAAGTCTCAAACTCGTTCTGAACGCTTGAGGCTACGATAAACGAACTAGCTAAGTTTCGTTCCACCGTGAAATTTCATTTTCGTGTATACCATGGCGAGCGTGTTTTCCACACGGATGCCATTGCTTTTCCGTATATATATATATATATATATATATATATAAAATAATGTTTCGTTACGCGAGGCAGAAAGAGCATCATTATATCGTTTAAAGTGGTGTAGAAATTATTTATCATAGTCTGGTTAATATTCATACTTCGTAATTACTTCGTTCGTATATTAGCTTTTAACTGCCGTAATAACGTGTATAAAACGTGAATTAAACTTTTACGTACAAGATGTTCTATTTTTTTTTTTTTTTAATTTTTAACCATCATTGAAAATGGTTTCGAAAAAGCGAGTCGAGTAAATGTTAAATAATTTACGGAACGTTACTTCAATCCATATTTCACGAAATATTCGTGCAAAAAAGAAAGAGAGACGGATATAAGAATTTATCATTTTTCTATTGTCGGTATACTTTTCGAGATATATACTTTATAATCAATTTGATCAGCTCTTCTTTTCTTTCTCATAAAAAAAAAAAAAAAAAAAACATTTCGCTGCAAATTAATTCACTCACTTCTGTGATCAGGATCCTCGCCGTACAATTTCCTGGTTATCTCTTTAAACATATCCTCGTAGCAGTCGAGCCTGCTAATTCCCGTGCCGCTACCCTCCATCTTCCGAGCCCTCGTCGGTCACCCACTATCCTCGGAAGAATAAACCCACGTCTACCTGGGAACCGAAATCGGCGGGTAAGTCGGGTTTTAACTAATAATCACAGACGAAAAATGCATTTCTCCCTTTCTTTTCAAAAACATTTTCACTCTCTTTTCCCCGTATTTCTGACAACAGCAGGTCAACTTTCAACCACCGTTATTTCTTTCCTTCCACTCTCTTTCTTTTCCGCTCGTTTACGAGGGGTTGGGGAGGAGGGGTTCCTTTTTTCATTTTCTTTTTTGTTTTTTTAAAATCGTTTCACGAAGGATGGATCGACGACGATGAAGTCTAATTGGCTCATCGAAGCTTAATTAAATCTTGTCGAGGCGCTTCCCTTAATCCACGCGACTTAACTTTACGCTGACCGGCTTAAGTGGCCCATTTGCATAAACGATGGAGATATTTCAGTGTTTGAGGGGAAAGGAGGATAATTTGGCAAATATTTTAACACGTGTTTTTCTGTGAGAGCGTTTTGTGTGTCACGCAGCGTGAGTTATTCAAAGTTAGAAATTGAAATATTTTCATAATTCTTTTATTTCGCGTAGAAAAATTTTGAAGATGGAAATTCATTTCAAATTCATTTTAAATAAGATTTCATTTTTATACGTTTCTACGTGTCCTGTAAAGAAAATTAGAAACGAAATAAGAATTATTTTTAAAATGATTTTTATTCAAATTTTTTTCATAATTTTTATTCAATAATAATATTGTTTGTAAAAAGATATTTCCGTATGAAAAAAATAAAAATGGATGGTTTTTATTAATTGTTGAGAGAGAAAACAAAGTTAAAAGGAAAATTTGGAATTTCCATCGAAAATATCGGTTCGTGAATGGAGTGCTTTACCGTGTAAACTGGTTGGTAAATAGAGTTTGAATAGAGTCGTTCTTCATGCTAAGTGGAGACGTATCATCGATTTGCTCAGTGGATTTATGGAAGTGTTCGAGGATGACGTATGAAATATCGTTTCTCATCAGCATTCAATTTTTCAAAAAAATTCGAAAAAAAAAAATGGTAAAAAGTAAAGATACGACATTCGATGATCGGATATTTCGGACATCCATTTTTTAAACATTCTTTCTCTGTTTAAAATCAAAACAACAAATTAAAAATTCGATTTTTTCGAATTAAATCTCAAAATTATTCTTCGCTAAATATTTATTTACCAATATAATCTTTTTAATCGACAAATAAAGTATTTATATCTTCTCATTTGAAAGAATGTAAAACATAGAAAATTAAAAAAAAAAAGAAAAAGTTGCAGCAACAAAGTTATATTAAACAATTTTTACATCGAGCTAAATTCACGTGACACATTTTTTCTTTTTTTTTTCTTTTTTTTTTTTTTTTTTTTTTTTTTTTTTTTTTTTTTTTTTTTTTTTTTTTTTTTTTTTTTTTTTAGAAAATCTACCTTGATCCCCTACCTTCCTATCTTATATATTCAGCTGCAAAGCGATTAAAAAACATCTTGTTGCAAAGCTACTTTCTATCTTGGTGCACTTGAAAAATCGATTCATTCTATCGGAAAATGTCGTGAACAAATGATTGGTGCTCAAACCACGTAAAAAAATGCTTTGTAAAGCTGTATCGTGTTATGCAATTAACAATAATATGATGTTACGAATAATATTTCATTCTGATGCATTTTCTCTTGCAACAAGTTTCTAATTAAAGTTTTCTCGCATTCAAATTTGCCAAAATTTGTTTCATAATTTCATGAATTCGTTTTCCAATTTTTTTGTCAAAGAAAAATAAAATCCCCGATTATTAAAAGACTTTAAAAACTTTGTAAAATTTATAAAGATTCGTCAAAAATTCGCTAAAAAATAAATTATGAATTAAATCTTCTCTCTTTTATTTTCTTTTATTTTCTTATTTGTTATAGATTATTATGGAGCCTTGACAATTTTTCATCAGTTATTCGAATAATCCTAATTCGATGGATTTTTCCACGATTCATGAAATTAAAAACTTTGTGTTTAGGATCGATCTTGTAATAATCCTTTCAAATAAATTTGAAGAAAATATTTTCATCGATATTTCCGATATTGAAAATTATCTTGGAGGTAATAAAATAAAAAACGCAAAGGAGAACAATTCAAGAGGATATTTTCATAGAAGATAAGATCGAAGATAAAATTACGAAACACGGGGAGAAATGTATAATAATAAATGGCCATTTCACAACGAAATGAAAATTTTAGTGCCAAGTCTGGTAATGTGTATCAACTGTAAACCCATTGAAACCGATCGTCGGTTGAAAGCAAACGAGACAATAGCAATTCCAGTGAAAGACATTCTGGCCGCGTTCGAACGTAAATACAGGGTTAATGCGCGGCAGGAAATCGTGGCTGGTGTTCCAGCACGATGACAGGAACCCGGTGGCAATGCGGAACTCCGTATCGGAAGCGTTAACGAGTTCTCTCCCCGGAGGTGGAGATGGCACGATGAAATTAGAATCGAGGTTGTTACAGGCCGTTTAGAAGCGGCGATCGTCGTCACGGATTTTCAATTAGACCCACTTAGAAATCAAGCGTGAAGATACGGGATAATTATTATGCACGCTTCTTCCATACGGGTGCTTTACTTTTTGCAGAATCTCTTCCGAGAGATGAATTGCCTCTGTCAGTGCTCTGTATTTTGAAACGGCAATTTTTTTTTTGGATAAAGGATAATTATGAAGGCAATTCTTTGTGAATCTTTGAAAATTGTTTTTTTTTTTTTGTTCTTGAAAATTTTTAAGAAAGATGAAATATTAAAGGAACGTTAGAAAATGTTTATCGTCTCCTGGAAAGCTAAACTGTTTTGGAATTTTAAGGAAAGATAAACCGTCTCTATGAATTTTTTAATTCCTTCTTTTCTCCGTTTTTCTAACGTCAGGACAGAGAGGAAGTGAACTCAATGGTGTTTGTCAATTTTCAAAGAATTGCGGAGAAAAATTCAATTTCCTATACAAAAGAATTTTTAATATTCCTCTTTCCTTCTTTTTTTTCTCTCCTCCCCTGAATGTCAATTTCCAAAGGAATCCTCGAGAGGTTTTGAAGAACATTGGAGAGCAACTCGGCATATTTCGTTGTATCGGTACATTCCTTTGGGAAGGAATCGCAATAGATGGAGGAGGAACGAGGAGCAATTGCGAACGCGGTTCGAGGATCTCGAGAAACTGGATCGAAGTTAAGACCACTTTACAATTCGTTCAAGCGTGAGCAGTCTTAAACTCTTCTTCCCGACTCGAGGAGGGTTGAAAAATCCGACTCCGTGTTACCGGTTGTTAAATATTCATGAACCGGGAAATCTTTCGCCTTTGAAGCAGTGTCACAATTTAGAAGGTTGACTCGAAAAAGAGGTATTGATTTTCACTTAGAACTGGAACAAAAGCGAAAATCTTCGTTTCCATTCACGCGACAGGAACGACATCTCTTTCGTTTGAAAAGAAACACCGCTCAAATTTTTGGTTCAACTTCTTCAAAGGATAACAATTCTTTATAAAGGTGACGAAAAATTGAGGGGAAAAAATTGGAAAGAAATTTGAAAAGAAATAAAAGGAATATAGAAGGGTTGAAAATTTTATTAAACTATCCAGAAGGAAGAAAGATAATGAAAGAGGTAACAATCTTTCCAAGTATCGCAAAGAATCGATCGGTATTAATTACGCGATTACCTAGTCACTGGTGGAAAAGAGCGGAACGTAATTAGATAAAACACGATCGATTGATGCCAATTCTATTTGCCACCCTTCAAGCACAAGGGGAAGGTCGATTGGAAGGGATCGCTTGAAAGCAATCGAGCATAAAGACGAGCAGTTCTTCATCGAGACGAGTCCCATTGTGCTCGATGAAACCAAGGATGTCACGAGCAACTCCTTCAATCTTATTCAAACCCCTTTTCTGTAACGGCACGACCACGCTAAGATTCCCACAGGAGCGTAAATACTTTCAAACAGAAAAATCTTGGTAGAAAAGCTCGACCTAACAGACGCCCGAGGGGAGGAAAAAACCATCAGCCACACGGTTTATCGAAAGCAAAACTGTTCTTAACCAATCCAGACGTTCAACAGACCTCTTTTCCTCCCCAAATGCAAACAGCTAGAACGACTACTTACCACCTACTGCTCCAAACTTTCAACGTTATCCTCCTTACCGATTTACCGATGTCTATTTAAGCGCACTCGCGCCGATTAAGAGTACTTGTACTTTTACCGATCGATTTCTCCCATCGATCGGTAAAAAAAAAAAAAAGAATTATCAATTTTTATCTTTCGATCGTATCTTCCGATATTCTAAGCCCGAATCGTCGACGAAGAATAAACAAATTTTTCGAAACCATTTTTAAAAATAAAAAGATATTTCATTTCAAAATTGTGCATCAACTGTTAAAAGAAATTTCTTAAAAGAAAATTCTTTCAACGTATATCCACGCATATATATATATACTCCAAACAATTGGAGAGAGTTGTTCCGATCATTAACCAAAGACTGTTAACCCGATAAATCGCCCCACCCCGAAGCGCGAATAAATTACCCACCACCCAGAGAGTATTGTAGCGCTTTCGAGAAGCAACACATTCCAGAAGGGAACGAAATCAATCCGTGAGCAACGCGTAACGCGGCTCGTTAGTCAACCGATCGACTGGGGTGGGAGGCGGTCGACCGTCAATCGAACTGGATCCCCCACCCTTCCGACGAGAGATCGATCGATTTCGATCCTGGCGGCGACGTAACGCAAACTTTTCAGTCAGGGATGACCGGAATGAGGAAGAAGAAGAAGAAGAAGAAGAAGAAGAAGAAGAAGAAGAAGGCTGACCCGTGTATTGATCGAGCCGCCGCGTGAGCGGAAAACTCGCAGGGGGAGCGAGAGAGAGGAAGAGAAACGAGCAAAGGAGGAGGGAGAAAGACGGGGTGCACCTCTGGCGAACCCTAGCCGAGGTTACCCACTCGTACATCCATACATCCTCGTTGGTACGAGGTGGCACACACGCGTGCAGGGCAGGTTTCAGTGCTCGCACAGGGGTGGTGGCGTTAGAACGTTCTCGCGGCGTGGAAGGGGTTAAACCGGCGACGAATAAATCAATATTCCCCTCCGGAGCGATCGAGGACACGTCCCGGAGGCGACAGATGGCGAGGGTGCCTTGTCTAGCCTCGTGTTCGAGTCTCTGCGCCGGTTGAGCACCACTGTCTCCGAAGAAAACCTAAGCTTGGTGGGGAGAGAGATGCGGGTGGGTAGAGAGTTCTGTAGGATATATATACAACGATGAACGTTCGAGGGAACGAACAGAGTGGAAGAAAAGAAAGAAGAGGAAAAGGTGGTGAGGGAGAGAGAGAGAGAGAAGCAACGTCGGGG